ACTGCCTCCTGGTCCAAGTATAGGTTTTGCAAAAGCACAGTCAAGTGTTCTGGGATTCCACTACTTCTCAGAGTCAGCCACATTTTGTTGTGATCCACACAGTCAAATGCCTTTGCAGAGTCAATGAAACACAAATAGACATTCCTCTGGTACTCTCTGTTTTCAGCCAAGACTCATCTGACATTAGCTATAATATCCCTAGTGCCACGGCCTTTTCTAAGTCCAGTCTGCAGTCAGGCAGTTCTCTGCTGATGTGCTGTTCCAGTCATTTTTGGATAAATCACAGAATCTTGCTTGCATGTGTTATCAATGATATTGCTCAATCATTTCCACAATCTGTCAGATCACCTATCTTTGGAATGGGAACAAACATAGATATCTTCCAGTCAGTAGGCTAGGTGATTGTCCTCCAGATTTCTTGGCACAACTTAGTGAGCACATCCAGGGCAGCATCTGTTTGTTGAAATATGTCAATCGGTATGCCATCAATTCCTGGGCCTTGTTTTTTGCCAATTCTTTCAGAGCAGCTTGAACTTCTTGCTCCATCACCACAGGCTCATGGTCATACATTGTTCATGAAATTCTTCTGTGTCCACCAATTCCTTTTGGTACAATGACTTTATATACTCTTTCCATCATCTTTTTTAATGCTTCCTAGATCATTTAATATTCTGCCCTAAGCATCCTTAACTATTGTAAGTTGAGGTTTGAATTTGTTCTCCAGTTCCTTCAGGTTAAGAAATGCTGAGCTAGTTCAGCCACAAAAACTTTGGTTTTGAGTACACGGAGCAAACAGCAATGATGTCATTAAATAAAACAGTATTAATTCCAGCAAAAAGCAGACAAGCATTCAAATTCAGGGTGCTGAGTCATCAGTCTGTATCTGCATCACTGTCCTCCAGGGCTACGCAAAGACAGTGCTATCAGAGGAACTTTTTCTTCTATCCCTCTCATCACACCCTTATTGTTTTAAAATGAAACTTGAAGCACAAAACAAGAAATAAATCCTGATATGAAGAAAGAGCTCTGTTGTCTTCAATGCAGGGCGTTCTAGTCTCAGAAACTCAACAGAGGGTAAGCTATGAGCTGGTTCTAACTCCAAGGTAATGAGGTGTTTCGGGGTTTGTTTGCTTGGTTTTTTTTTAGATTTGGCATGAAAAGAATGACAGAAAAAACCCCTTTAGTCAATGCAATGAAGTGACAACACATAAAGACCATTCTGAGCGAAGCAATATAATTGCTATGAATTCCAAAGGGCAGCTGAGGAAATACAGAAGTAATATGGCTTTGAAGTGGTACCACAACACCAGAGAGAAAAATCATGTGCATACTCTTCAAATCAAATCACTTACAGAGTCAGAACCTACAGACTCTTCTTTTTCTCCTTCAGATTTGCTGGAGGATTCAAACCATCAGAGGTGTGGCCTTTGCATTAGTAGTGTAACTCCTCACTAAGCTCCTTGTACACACCCCTAAGTGCACCTAAAAGTCACCCAGGCATGTTGGTGGAGGCTTACTAGAAAACCAATGTAGCCAGTAAAATTTAAAAAGAACCAAATATCTGAGAAGATATTTTTAAAAATTAAGATTATAAATATTCATAGTAAACAAGTAAACATATCTAAGCAATTAAGAGCAACAACATGCAATTAACTCCCCTAATAAAAGAAACTGACAGACAAGTCAATATACCCCTAAGAGCAAACCCTAAGGACAAGCAAACACACAGATATCACGGTGCTGTACGTGTGCTTGTTTATCACCTGCTCTTATGCATACAATGCTCACCTGTATAAAGCAGAGCTCCCAAATGGAGAGAGACTAGGAAGAAAAATTGGCCGTCCACATCTGAAGTAAGAGGCCTTCTACAAATTTATAAACAACAGAGCACAGCCACATAATTAGGTATTAAAACTGGATATAAAGTCCTCAAATTGAAAGACATTAAAAAAATTAGGAAAAAACAGCTGCAAATATCCCCTAAAATTGGAACATGGAGCATATAAAGTATGAATATAGGAAAATCTGACACAGTTAAAAATGAAAAAGAATGTATAAAGATTGACATAATATAGGCATTAGCGAGCTGAGATGGACTACCATTGGTCATTCTGAATCAATCATATGATTTACTATTCCTGGAATGAAAAGTAATAATAATAGGAAGAATGGTATTGAAATCATAATTAAAAAGACCATTCAAGATCTGTCCTCAAGTATGATGCTGTGAGCAAAAGGATATTAGTCCTGCACTTACAAGGAAGAACTGTTACTACAATAATTATTCAATTATATGAACCAAGAGTCAAAGCCAGAGAGGAGGAAAGTGAGATTCCTACCAGCTTCTGCAGTCCAAAACTGACCAAACATGTAAACAAGATGTACTAATAATAACTGGTCATTGGAACGCAAAAGTTCGGAAACAATGAAGGAATGATAGTTGGAAAATACAAACGTGGTGACAGAAATGAGGCTGTAGAATGAATGACTATTGTACATTCAATGATTTATACATCACAAATACCTTTTTTAAGAAACACAAATGGTTGACTATACACATAGAGCTTACCTGATGGACTGCACAAAAATCAGATTGACTACATCTGTGGAAAGAATGACTGGAAAAGCTTCAATAGTCAGTCAAAACTAGATGTTGACTGTGGCACTGACCATCCATCACTCATGTCTAAGTTCAAACTGAAACTAAAGAAAACAAGTCCATGAAAACCTATAAAATATGACCTTGAACCTATCCCACCTGAATTTAAAAATAATCTCAAAAACAGGTTTAAGGTACTAAACACTGACTGAAGACCAGATGAGCTGTGGGATGACATAAAGGATATTGTTCATGAAGAGAATAAAAGGACATTACATGGACAGAAGAGAAAGAAAAGGCCAAAATGGATGTTGGAGATTCTGCAAGTTGCACTAGAGTGTCAAGAAGCCAAAACAAAGGAGAAAAGATGCAGAAGTGAATGAAAGAGATGAACTGAAGATTTCAAATAGCAGCTCCAGAAGACAAAGCAAAGTATTATATAATGGAATATGCATAGAGCTGGAGTTGGAGAATAAAAAGGGAAGAACTCACTTAATGATTCTCAAGCTGAGAGAATTGGAAAAACAAAATGAAACCTCGAGTGGCAATATTAAGAGATGTTATGGGTAAAATCTTGAATGATCCAGGAAGCATCAAATGAAGATGGAAATAAACAGTCACCGTACCAGAATGAATGTCAAAATGGAACTATTTTAGGAAGTAGTACATGATCAAGAGCCAATG